GCCTGTTTATAGCCTCTCAAGACCTGGGATTACAGGTGTGTACCACCATGCCCAGTCTCAGTGTACTCTGGGGTGGGGCTGGTACCACAGGCCCAGAGATTGAACCCCTGGCCCTTGCACCTGCTTGCAGGTGCTTTTAATCCACTGAGCTATTTGGCCAGCCCTTATTCATGTTTTGAGACAGGGTCTTGCTATGCAGTTCAGGCTGGCCTTGAACTCACAGTGATCCTCCTGCATCAGTCCTCCTGCCTCCACACCTGGCTCTTTTGTTTTGATTTTGCTGTTTTTGTCAGTGTCTTTTTTTTAAAATCTGCATTTCATTTGACTTTTTGGCTGCCATCCTAAGAACGCAGCTAATGACCCACATTACCACTGATCCAAAGCAAGTCCCTGCAGCATGGCTCCTGCTGCCCCACATCTGGCAGGCATTCCCCCCCCCCCCCCCCGTAGCTCTGCCCTACTCGCCCTTTGGGCTCTCCCACCTGCCCAGAGCCGGGTCTTCCCAGGTGCTTGGTGCACACTCAGCACCAAGTTCAGAGCTCCAAGTTTACTCACTTGATTTCAGGAGGCAGAAAGTTCAACGCAGTCTCTCCCTGTGCCAGTTCCCAAGTCTTATTCACTCTTGAGGGTTGAGGAAAGTCCCTGTTCAGTGACTATTCTGGCCAACGGGTTGTCAGCCGAAAGTTTGACCTGTTTTCCTCCTGTTCTCCTAGCTCAGGAGGTTGTGTGACTAGAACTGAGAGGAGCCTGTGTCCCTGCTCTTAGGAAGGAAAAAGGTCATATGATGTCCTTTAGCTTCCTTAGAGTTGTGTGCTGGAAATGTGCCCTGCCTGTTCCATCCAGCTGTGTGTCCTGTCCTCCTAAGCTTTGCTTAGGTTCTAAAATTCCAGTACCCCCAGTCTACGTGATAACTTGGAAACTGCTTCTTAGCGCAGGAAAGTAGCAGCTCCGTTTCGAGTCTCTAAATCCCCATGTAGCACCCACGGATTGTCATGTGGGTGTGCCCCTCACCACGCCGTTTCCCACAGAGGAGCCAGGAGAATGAGGAGGATGTCGAGGATGACGCTGACCAGTACATCTGCAGCGGGGTCCCTGGGCGGCCCCCGGGCCTGGAGGAGGAGCTGACCCTGAAGTACGGGGCGAAGCACGTGATCATGCTCTTTGTGCCCGTCACGCTGTGCATGGTCGTGGTGGTGGCCACCATCAAGTCTGTGCGCTTCTACACGGAGAAGAATGGTCAGCTGTGAGTCGGGGCCACCTGGCAGGGGGCAGGGGGGCCGGGCTTGAGGTAGTGACAGCCTCAGCCACAGCGTCTGCATCCGCAGCTCCGGGTGACGCTGACCTTCAGCTTCCTGGCTGTGGCGCTCGTCTGCCAGCCTCCCATTAGTCCTGGGTGGTCAGAGTGAGGTGCTTGTGACCCGTCGGCTTCCTGCCCTTAGGGGGCTCCACTGGGCAGGGGCTGGTGCAGCAGGCCTATGGCTGGGAAGTGGGGTGGACAGAAAGGGCTTCCAGAAGGGGTGAAGTCAGGTGGGGAGGGGAGGCCACATCGGCTGTGAGCTGGGCAGGGCACCAGGGCTGGGCTGGAAGCTGGGGGCCAGCGCCCAGCCAGTGCCAGGGCAGTGCGGGCCCCAGGGCTCCAGGACAGGCCTGGGGGTCACTTAGGGAAGGGTGTTACGGAGCTGCAGGTGCTGTGACTTCCTGTCTCTTAACCTTCTCAGCATCTACACACCATTCACTGAGGACACGCCCTCTGTGGGCCAGCGCCTGCTGAACTCCGTGCTGAACACCCTCATCATGATCAGCGTCATTGTGGTCATGACCATCTTCCTGGTGCTGCTGTACAAGTACCGCTGCTACAAGGTGTGCGCACGCCCTCCCGGGGCCCCTGCCCAGAAGCACTTCAGTGAAAAAGCTAATGGGGCTCTTGTTCTGCAAGTCAGGCTGATTTGGGTCCTTATTCCCTTCCGCTGTGCTCCCCCTCCCGGGGCCACCTGACCCTGCGTTCCATCTTCCCTTCTCCCAGGAAGAGGCTGACTTAATTTTACTCTTTCTGAGGTTGTTTCAGTTTTCCTTCACCCCAGTGCTTCCCCTCTAGGTTTATTTTTATTTTCCCATCCCCACCAGATAGGACTGTTCAGAGGCTGTGCTGAGATCTCTTAGCCCTGGGAGTGTTTGGGTTGGACCTGCCCCCAGCTGCCTTGCACCCCAGGGAGCAGTCCTGGGTCATGGGCACCATCTGTCCCACAAATATTCTCAGCTTTTATTTGGGCTGCAGGCCAAAGGCTCTGAAACCCTCAGCACTGAAGGAAGTTAAGCTAGGTGCACAGGTGCAGGACAGTGGACTGCGCAGCCGCTGTGTGAGCAGGGAGAGGTAGGCGTGGGGTAGCTTCTGGGCCGAGTGATTGGAGAGGGAAGGTGCTTGTCTGAAGCAGAGGGGTCATGCTCCCAGACAGCTGGAGATAGCGGGGCACTATAGGGCCAGCCCTGCCCTGTCCCTAGTGGATGGGGTCAGCTGCTGCTTCATCCACTCTGTGAGGCTCCCTGGCAAGTCTGTGGCACCAGCAGAGGTTGACAGTGGCCCAGAGGCCAGGATGGTCAGGATGAAGAAGGCAGGTGGAGCCTCGTTGTTTCCCCCGCTCCAGGGTCCAGGTCACTGCTGGCGTCTCACTAGCTGAGCTGGGGGCTATTGGCTGAGAGAACAGCACCCTACCACTGATAGCTGGCCAGGGGTCTGGTTCAGAAGCAGCCCTCCCTTGACCTCGACTGGAGTGTGCTTGGCTGGGGAGGAGGAACCAGTCTTACTGAGGACCCTAGGTAGATGCTTGGGTGGGAGGGGCTTCCCCATTGTCTCCGAGGAGATGTCTCCTCCACCACCTGTCCTCACCGAACACTCACTGGCACCCAGTGCATTGTCCTAGGTGCATGTTCTCCTGGGCAGACCTTTGCTCTCTCCAGAGCCTTTGCTGGCACAGTTGGTGCTGGCGAGAGCTGCAGCCCGGGGCATCCTTGCTACGTGGAGGCCAGGCGGAGTGAGCATGAGGCCACAGTCAGCACCCTGGGGCCTCATGACGTCCTCCTGTTTCTGTTGTCCAGTTCATCCATGGCTGGCTGATCATGTCCTCCCTGATGTTGCTGTTCCTGTTCACCTACATCTACCTCGGGTAAGTGGCGCCTGGAAGTAGCAGTGTCCTGGAGCCCCTCTCCAGTGCATGGCCACAAGGGACCGTGGTGGAGAAGGGCAGTCACTGCTCTCAGTGGTAGCTGCTGCTAGAGCCCAGGCCTCCGGGTCCCTTCCTTGGGCCTTGACACAGGGCAGGGAGGGTTCACCGTGGGCTGCACATGTGATATGAAACTGTCAGAGCCTCTGTGGAAGACACTAGCTGTGAGCACCAGGGGATGTGGAGCCCACGCAGTTTCATTCTTGGGCCAGGCCTGGAACAGCCTGGTTTGTGGAGAAAACTCACTGCCCTGTTGTTGCCTTTTGATTTGGGATCCCACTCTGAGCCAAAAGCCCAGAGAGGCTGGGGCACAAGAGGCTGTATTGCTGAGAACTTTGTCTATGGGTAGAGGGTCTTGTAGGAGGTGCTGGAGTGCCCTCCTGTGAGATCCCAAAAGCGCGTCTTTGGTGGTAGTGCAGGTCTGTGGAGAGGGTGCTCTGGGGAGAGGGTCTGATCGGAAAACTTAGTTGGGAGCTCGTGGCTGAAAGGCAGAGGCTGTGAAATAGGTCAGGCTGGGACATCTCCACCCCTACCCGCAGGGAAGTGCTCAAGACCTACAACGTGGCCATGGACTACCCCACACTCTTCCTGACCGTGTGGAACTTCGGGGCAGTGGGCATGGTGTGCATCCACTGGAAGGGCCCCCTGGTGCTGCAGCAGGCCTACCTCATCATGATCAGCGCCCTCATGGCCCTGGTGTTCATTAAGTACCTCCCCGAGTGGTCTGCGTGGGTCATCCTGGGTGCCATCTCTGTGTATGGTAGGTGGGGCTCAGTTATGGTCACTGCCTTGGGATGGGAGGTGTCCTTTGTAAAATGGGTCATTTTATGGACGCCGTGGTGTAGGAGGAAATCCAGCAGTGGGGTGCTCCTTGCTGTGCGCGGCTGTTGTCCCACTCCTGAGGGTGTGTACTCGGTGACACTGCACTGCTTGTTACTCAGAGCAGCCCGAGTGCACTGGGTCTGATGCCTGTGAGTATGGCCACTCCCGTGTTCAGGATAAAGACTTGGGGCTCCCTCGGCCTGCAGGCACACAGCGCTTCCTGTTGGCAGTTACTGGGGGCCCCACTCACGGCTCAGGCCAGTGCACAGCACAAGTTGTGGCCAGCACTGGATCAAGGGGCCAGCCCAGCGGCCAGGCACATTCTGAGAGCCCAGCTGCGTTCCTGGCAGTAGTGGGCTGGCCACACCCACACTCGGGGGCTGCTCCAGAACAAGTGACACAACAACAGTGCCTCTCTCCACCCAGATCTTGTGGCAGTGCTATGCCCCAAAGGGCCACTGAGGATGCTGGTGGAAACCGCCCAGGAGAGGAACGAGCCCATCTTTCCTGCCCTGATATACTCCTGTGAGTGGTCTGTGCCTCTGCCTGGCATGGGGCCAGTGGGCCGGGGTGTGTGTGTGTGTGGGAGGGCTGGCAGTGGTGTTAGGGACTAACAGGGAAGAGTCAGCCTGGGGCTCCTGGGGACGTCCACCTCACACACCCATGGTGAGCTGGATCTGGCTGTTGCATGGGGAGCTAGCAAGGGCAGAGGAGAGGCGGCATCTGCAGTGCATGGGGCAGTCCTGCAATTGCACCCATCTGTCCAGTGGTCCTGTTGCCTGGCACCCTCGGCCCTGGCTCCACTGTCCAGGCCCTCACGGGGCAGGGCTGTAGTCTCTCCAAAGTTGGTCACTGTCTGGCCACACTGAGCCTGGTGTGTTTCAGCTGGGTGTTGCCAAGAGGAGCCTCCAGCTCCAGGGGTCTTGTTCTCAAAGAGCAGCAGGGCAGGGTCAGGTATGAAGTCCCGGGATCGCACAGGGACTCATCGCATTCCGTGTTCATGGTGGCCAGGAGGTGCACACAGCACGGTGGGCGTTCCGTGAGGAGTGGTGGGCAAAGCACAGTTGATCCAGGCCATGAACCATTTGGCCTTGGGCAAGAAGTTCTTTTTTATGTAGTTTTTTTAAATTGAATTGTTTGTAGCCCTTTTTTTGTTATGGTGTGGTAATTCAATATGCATATAATGTGTTGTGATCAAATCAGGGTAATAAAGGGCTGGCCAAATAGCTCAGTGGATTAAAGCACCTGCAAGCAGGCACATGGGCCTGGGGTTTGACCTCCCAGGCCTGCCATGCAGGCCCTGCCCCTGGAGCATGCTGAGACTGGGTGTGGTGATGTGCACCTGTAATCCGAGCTTGTGGGAGGCTGTAAACAGGCGGATCACTATGAGTTGGATTTAGTAGTGAGACCCTGAACACCCTGTAGATCCTTCCCTAAAATTAAAAAAATTGGGGTAATAAGTTTGTGTCTTCTCAAACTGAGTTATGTGACGTGTTTGGAATGTCATCCTGTTCTTGTCATTTTGAAAAGACGTGGTTCCCCACTGTGCTGAAGACAATCGGGTGGAATTCCTCTGCTCTTGACCCTCTGGTCTCCGCTGACACTGTTCCATTCTGTTTCTACAAGATCAACTTGGGGTTCTCACCCAGGGTGCAGCGTGTGCCAGCTGTCCTTCTGCACCCCGCTTATTTCACTTAATGTATTGGCCTCCATTTTCCCATGTCCCTGCACATGACAGAATTTCGTTTCATGGCTGAATACTATCTTGTTGTGTGTGTTCACCACGTTTTCTTTGTCCCAAGGGCGCCTGGGTTGACCCCATATCCTGGCTGTTTGAATAGTGCCATAATAATTTCAGGAGTGCAGACAACCCTGTGTGTGATGGTCTCGCCTCCTCCACGTACCTACCAGGGCTGGGATTGCTGGATCAAATAGCTGTTTCATTTCTTTGAGGAATTTCCAGTCTGCTTTCCCACGGCGGCTGTATGGCGATGGGCCCACCACCCGTGTCCATGCGCGCTTCACCCCTTCACCAGCATTTGCTAAGCCTGTCTTGCTGGCAGCCGTCATTCTTACTGCAGTGAGATGGCACCCTCGGGGGGGGGGGGGCTGCGAGTTGCATCCCAACCATTCCCTTGTGTACTCGTTGGCCATTTGTGTGCCGCCTTTGGAGAAATGTCCTGTAGTTCTTCCATCCATTTTTCAGTAGGATTGTTTGCTTCTTTTGATGTTCAACTTTGCCAGTTCCATCTGTATTCTGTGTATGAGTCTCTTGAAGGATTTTTTTTTTTTTTGCAGCCTCATGATGCCTTCAGGGCAGGTCTTGTTCGGCTTGTGGATCTGGGGATTGAACCGCAGCATCCTGAGCCCAAATGCTTTGTTTAAGCAGGCACTTCAACAACTGAACTAATGGTTTGGCCCCTATCGGTCTCTTGTACAGATAGTCTGCAAACATTTTCTCCCTAATTCTGTCACTTGCTTCCCTTGCGGGGCAGAAGCTCCTTAGTTTGTCAAGTCCATCTGTCTATTTCTGGTTTTCTTGCTGGGCCTTTGGCCTCCCGGCTGCAGATCACTGGCTTACACCAATGCCTTAAAGTGTGGGCCTCTGTTTTCTTGTAGTAATTTCTTTTTTTTTTCTTTTCAAAGTTTTATTGATAAACATATAGCAATGAGACAGTTTCAAATCAAATCGAAAGTGCAGTTTCAAGAAAATACACT